TGGTGTATATTGTTCCAATGTGTATTCTTTATTTGATATTATTCACTGGGCTTTCGCTCACGCTCATTCATGTGTTTGTAGGTGAGCCAAGAAAAGTCCAAACCCAGCCCCAGTAAAGTCTGTATGGAATAACTAAGGTTTTGAAGAGTCAGCCCTTGCGTCTCACGCACGAGACACGTCTTCGCCCTTCTGCCATTCTATGTTATTTTGTCATGTTGGCGAGGACTTTGGTGTACGTCTGTATATAGCTTTGTTTTGGCTGACTTAGATTTGAATGATCCTGTCTGTATAGAACTTTATGTTACTATACTTTCTGTTGTGAGTTATTAACATACGTATGTATGAAATGTTATGATGTGCATATAAGCACGGCTCTAGGGACAAAGTTTTAAATTTACTTCCGTTTGGCCCCTTTACTCTGATGAGTTTTGTCTCATTTGGTTTGAGGCCGTAGGTAATCTCGTGATTACTGGCCGGTTATGGCCTTAACCCATAGGGGCGGGTTCGGGTCGTGACACAATCTATCCTTTCTCTAGTCTTTACTATAGTCTAATCCATCATCCATCTCTTAATAATCTGATGTGTTTATATAGGCAATTCAAGTGGAGAAATGGTGGAAGACAAGAATAGAGCATTAATGTAGATAATTGAGCCAATGGAGCACTAATTGAGCTAATGGAAGACAAAAGTGGAGCATTACCTTCAATCGATCAAGCACTAGGCAATGCAGGCTGAGTGTGTATGCATTTGGTGTAAGAATATATTAGAAAATGGGATAGTGGAGTGCCCCACAAGAACTAAACAAAAAAAATGGGTCTACTGTGTTGTAGATCGTGGGCGTGAGTAACAAGTCGAGGCCATGGACCACATGGTCGCGGGCTCGGTCAAAGAAAACCCTAGGTGGTCAATCGGGCGGATGACCAGTCAGTGAGAAATTTGCCCATTTTGCTCCAGTTTAGACCAGCTTTGCTCTGATTGTCAAACGGGACTTAAACACTTGGCCAAAATAGGCTTAGGGTTGGGAGTAAAGCTCAAATTCCATCTTTCTTATTGAGGATTTTGTGAGAAACACATTCTTGTTTTCGTTATCAAGTAATCAAAAGAAAAGTGCCCAAGTCTTAGGGCCGATTAAAATGGGGTGTCTACACTCACCTACTCTGATGGTCGATTCATCGTCGTTATTGCTAGATCTCATGTAGCGTTTTAGAAACCAAACTTGTTTATATTAATTGATACCCGTTTCCTTATACTTGTATTGTTTTCAGACTTTTAAATTGATGGGTTTGCATTTGACCTTAATTATTAGAATTGGGACTTCTTTCTAAAAGTTTAGAGCCTTAATTGAAGTGTAAACACGATGGTTGGGTAAGATTGGATCAAAAATTTCAAATTTGAATATTTATTTTTAAGTAGTGCTCACGCTTTTACTATTTTCTCTTTCCAGACTTTGAATCTTGATGCGAGGTTGGAATCGTTAGAAAGCTTACTTTCAGGATTTCAATTTAAACACAAAAATTGATCAAATTTTGACTCTAAAAGAGGAAGATATGCATGTTTGAAATTTACCATGTAAAGCTGTCTGGGTCAATCTGTACGTGCGGAATATTTGTCCCGCACGAGTGGATTATGCAAGCTCATGAGCAAAATTCGCTTAATAGATCCGCCCATGTGGCCAGAGGCTCCGCATGTGCAGGACTGTGCGCCCAACCTAATTTTTAGGGCCATTTTTCTTCAAATTTTGGGACTCTCTCTTTCCTCACTTTTTCACTGTCTCTCTACATTTCTTTTCCCTCCATTCTATCTACTTTCTCTCTCTAAAACCATATTCAACCCTTGATATCATCTACTAAGAGGGAGATTTTTGCAAAACTTCGTTTATTAAAGTTGTAAAACTCATCAAAGGTTTCGACTTCACCAATTCGATTTCATTTGGAACATTTTGAAATATTGAGCTTTTCTTCGTTTTCCACTTCTAGCTTGAGGTAGGAATTTTCTTAATAAATATGATATTGAGGTTTATATGTGGTATTCTTCTAGTTATGAATTTGTGAAAAATATGTAGAGATTTTGTATATTTAATGCATAAAAAATTAAGACTTAAATATATATTATAAATTATTCAAAATTATCTCTTCAAATGTAAAGGAGTATATCTAAATTTTAAGATTATACTCTAAAATGGTTAAAGCCTTACATTATGGGTTTTTGGCTTTTGTAATAATAAGTTATAATTTTTGGTAATTTGATTAACTTTTTAGTAAGAATTGGTTTTTTGACTTCTTTTTTAAGCTTATTTTAATTTTTAGTCAACTTTTCTTATTAATTTTAGGAAAAAATACATATCAATGGGATTTTGAAAAAAATATTACAAATTAATGGTAAATTTTATAAATATTAATAATTAGAATCTTAAACTTTCTCATCAATTTGTAATAATTTTTTCAAACTCCCACTTATATCTATTTTCCCTTTAATTTTATATCACCCTAATTTAATGAAACAAAAAGACAAAAGAAGTCAAAAAAAAGGCTAGCCAACTAAAAGACAAAAAGGAAGAAAGGTTTTAGCTAAAATAATCAATTTTTAATTTTTTTTAATGATTTTTGAACTAAAAGGGTACTAAACAAAAACAATGAAATTTTCAAAAATAATTTTATATGATACTAGTTTTTATTTTTTATTTTTAATAGAATTTTATAAACAAGTGTTATTTTAGAATTTTATTTTCTAAAAATAAAGTGCGTGCTTTCAGAAAAATGAAAATAAAAGCAAAAATATGATCAAACATAACCCAATCTTTTACTTTTTTCAATAAATAAATGGGTAAATTATAAATACATCTCCTGAGATTTGATTGAAATACGAATCATCTCTTATTTTTTTGGAAATTACATTCTACTCTCTGAAATTTTTAATTTCATAACAAATTGTCCTTTTTATTAAATCAATTAGGTAATTTTATTATTATATGGGAGAGCAATTATGAATTTCATTTTTTAAGTTAATTCTGTTAAATAAAAATTTTAATAAGGAGATATTTATAATTTTCTAAATCATAGAAGGCAATTTGTATTTTAAATAAATAGAGGTGTATTTGTAATTCACCTTAAACAAATTCATGGAATCCCATAGCTTCTACAACAATATAGGGGCAATTTGGGAAGTAGCTAAAAAAACTAGCTTTTTAGTTTTTTACACAAAAAAAGCTACAGAAAAAGTCACAAAAAGTCAAAAAATCACAGAAAAACTAAAAAATTCACTTTTTATCATCTTCTCAAAACACCACATAATCATCGGAAAAATAGAAAGAGACAAAAATGGTTGTGTCTAGTTGGCAAGGTACAACCCTAATAGATCATTGTTAGTTTGCAAGAATAATCAAATTTTTGTACTAAATTTAGTTGGGAACTTTTTTGATAAATCTTCTTTCTAATAGTTTTATTTCATTTAATCCATACTTCTTTTTTTTGACTATTTCATAATCTTCTTTCTAGAGTTTTATTCCATCCAATCCATACTTTTTTTTACACAATTCCATTATATCATATTTGAGATAAGAAGACCAAAATATTCTCAATCTCTCCTGTCCCTATTAATGTTGATTGTCATTATGTTTTGTTAGTTCCCATGCATCACTGTCATTATATTCATATTAATTTGAAATGAATTTTTGTTATTGTGTTGTCAATTACATGATATGAATATTTACATTATGTAAGAAAATAAATAAATATTCACATCATTATATTCACATTAATTTGAAATGAATTTTTGTCATTGTGTTATCAGTTACATGATGTGAATATTCATACTAAAACACAAGAATGTAAACGTTTACATCATTACATTAGCTGAGAGAGAATGTTTACATGTTGTGAATGTTCACATCACTACGTGTTGTGGATAAGAATGCGTTGTCAATTAAAAATAAAAAAGTTCACATGTTGTGATTGTGAATATTCACATCACTACATTAGATGTGAGAGAATTTTTCAAAAAGGTGTTGTGAACGTTCACACCAAATGAGAGAGAATGTTTACATTATTTTTAATGTGTTGTCAATTAAAAATATATTCACATTAGACGAGAGAAAATGTTCATATTATTTTTAATCTGTTGTCAATTAAAATATATTCACATTATATAATAATATAAAATAATAACATCGAGGTTATTTAATTTGTGTATGGAATTTGCTATGCCTTATTTCTTTATTTTCTCTCTCCTCTCTAGGAATGGCAACGGGGTGGGGCGGGGCCGGGGATCGCCCTCCTCGTCCCCGATCCCCGATGGCTAAAACTTCCCCGTCCCCGGCCCCGATCCCCGACGGGTAATCTATCAGAGTCCCCATCCCCCGTCCCCAACGGGGATCGGGTTTCCCCGACCCCGAAATTCCCCGATCCTCATCAACAGATCAAAAAACAACAGATCAACCGATCAAAAAAAAAAAAAACAGATGAAGCTCATCATCAACAACAGAGATCAAAACAAAAAAATTACAGATCATCATCAACAGATCAAAAAAAAAAATACAGATCATCATCAACAGATCAAAAAATCAATAACACCCTACTCCTCTCTCAACATTAAATATCAATATTAAATATAAAAGTATAAAAGTCTAAGAAAATAATGTAAATTAAGAAAAATGACTTTATAGAATAAAAATATAAATATATGGGCCTACATAGATTAAAAATTTTATTCATGGACTTTTTGAATTAGAACACTTCTAAATGAGATTTATCACTAAAAATCTTAATTTAGTAATGACATTTTCCATGTTATTGACAAATTATTAAATAATGGAAAATTCATGGAAGGCAAAATCTATACTAATCCAATAATGACAAAATTAGTTCAAAAAATTAATCATCACAATATTAAGAATCAATTTGCTATTCTCAACTCTAAAATGAGCATTTCAGAATAGTAGGAACCCACCAGAAAAGATTAAAGTTGGTATACATCATCCAAAACTGGATAAGAAAAGGGAGAAAGAAAAAAAAGAAACTCTGTTTTGGATTAAAAGAAAGAAGGTCAAGAATGATGAGTGTATGTACTACTATATATCTAAAGAATCTTTGTGAATTGAAACCAGTACACAATGTGAAATTACAAGGAGAATGAAATGAAAAGTTACATCAACTTGTAGTAACAGATGTTTCCATATAGCAGAATCTGATAGCCTTTGCCGCAAGAACACTTGATGTGAACGATTAACCACTTCCCAGATCTCTCCACACTCACTGCTTCCTCACATTCAGTTGTCTCAGACTCATCCTGCAACTTCAATTTCAATGGAATTATTCATCAAGAAAATCACTAAAAACCAACCCAATCAACAAAAAAATCTCTAATAAAAATGCTTTGAAACCAGAGTCACAAATGAAATGAAAAGCTAATGTTATGAAGAGAGAGAACATCGAATAAAAAAAGAGACCTTCTGTGGAGCGCCATTGTTGTTATCATCTTCAGAGCCACGTTCTTTTTCCCCTTCCATGACTTCGTCCCACCACTGACTCATCTCTTTCATTCGATCCCTCATTCTCTTCAACCTCTGCAAAAAAACCCAAGACCCTTTTTCATCATAAAATTGAAAGAAACAGAAAGAGAGAGAGAGAGAGAGTCGAAAACGGACCTTGGAATTGGGAGTGAGGCATTGGATGGAGTCCGGAGGAGGTGTTGGGGTTGGAATTGGGTCAGAGAGGGAACGGCGGAGAGTGGCGGAAGCAGAGGAAGTGGGTTTTGCATTCGGTGGTGGTGGTGGTGGTGGTGAGGGAGTCTTGGCATTTTGAGATGAGAGAGGGTTGAAGAAACCATTAGCATTAGTGGGGTTGTTGTTGTTGGTTGTTCCGGGTGAATTAATGGGGTCAGAAACGCAGCGGTGGAGAGTGGGGATTGGAAGGTGAAGCTTGGTGAAGCCCTGGAGGAGATGGTCGCCGACGATAAGGGTGGAGGAGGGGTGACGGCTGATTTTCTTGGATTTGGGTTCTTGGAGAGATGATGAAGACGAGGAGGGTGATCGTCTCTTCATGGAGCCACCGCACGCCCTGCACGAGGACACTGGGGGGTTGAGCCGGAGCATGGCAAGCCGGTTGAGGGCGGACCCGGACGACTCTAAACCACCGTCCTCTTCGGTATCGTCCAAGTATGTTTTGTTGTCCATCTCGGCTTCTTGATCGCTCATCCCTGGGTTCTTTCTCTCTCTCTCTCTCTCTACAAAACTGTGGCTGATTTCCAAAATGTGATGCTGAAGCGCAAACAATGACTTCGGCCTCGCTTGTATGGGAAGAAGTTTGTTGGTTTTATAAAGTGATGATGTGATAAAAAAATAAAAGCTGGTTTTATAAAGAGTTGATGTGATAAAAAAATAAAAGTAAATAAATAAATAATTTATTTGTGGTGTTTTAAAACCACCTCAATAATTTATCAGTCCCGTTTCGCAGCTCAAAAATCCTGAAGCTCGAAATGGCTCGAATCCAAAACGACATCGTTTTGGAATTTTTTTTTTTTCTTCTGTTCTTTCTTTTTTTTTTTTTTTGTTCTGAAACATAGGGGATGGAGATGAAATAAGAAGAAGAAGAAGAAAAGAGATGGAGCAGGAGACATCATCATCAACAACCAATCATCAACAACCAAAATCAAAAAACAACACAACAACTATTCAAATCATCATCAACAATAACCAAAACGGGACTGTAACCACAACAACACATCCATCATAATAATCAAACACAAATTTTCAAAATCAAAAAAAAAAAAAAAAACAGATCTAATTCCTTAAAAAAATGGTTGTTTTTTTTTCAAAATCAAAATAAAAAAAAAAAGAAACACACCAAACATAGATCTAGAGATCTACATCGTCGCCATCGTCGACCGTCGCCAGCTCTCTCTCTCTCTCTCTTTCTCTCTCTCTGTTCGCCCTCCCTCTCTTTCTTCTCTTTTCTCTCGCTTTCTCTCACTCTCTCCCTCCCTTGTTTCAGATATAAAAGAAAAAACATAGAAAAACGACGTTGTTTTTCATTTCGGGCCAATCGAGCCTTCACCTTTTCAAGCTACGAGTCATTTTTCATAATTTATTGGGCTTGCGAGAGTTCATTACAAGTCCCGCTTTGATAATCGGAATTATTCAATGTGTAAACTCGTCAAGTATAATATGTCTGAAAAAATCACTTTGATTGGATATCGATAGCTATGTGATTAAATCAATTTTGTATAAAAAAAATAAGCGGTGAAAAAATAAATGGTTGACAGAAAACGGATCCGATGAAATAGTTATCGGTATCCGATCAACGTAATTTTTTACAAGCATATAGTACTCGACGAGTTCTACACATTGAACGCTTTGAATTATCAAAAGAAGACTTGTGGTGGTCCCTTACGGGTCCAACAGTACCATCCAATCCAATCTGAGACTAGAGGGAAGCCAACCCTTTCAAGAAATACTTCTACTTCCTATCTTCTTTATCTATCTATACTAATAAAAATGCTTGGTACTCTCAAAGTTGAGGACCCTTATAACCTCCAAAATGATGTGGATCAATAATGTTTTTTTTTCTTTTCGTTATTCCTAGACCAATCATAGGTGAGTGGGAGTTAAGAGAATTGTGTTTTTTAGAAGTCTGTAGCATTGTTGCTATACTAATAAAGTTGTCATTCTTTTGCACGGAATTTTATTTATATTATTAATTTATATTTCTCATTATATAAACAAAAAGGTTATTCAAAACTCTTAACTTAATTATCTTTTTTAATTTTTTATTTAATAAAATAAAAATATATGTGTCATAAAATCATAATAATTATTGACTTTTTTTTTTGGTGAAAAAAAGTTTAGGTCAAGGGAATCTACCCCAGTTTAGGCTCACAGTAAGCCATAGGCCTCAATGAGGACTTACATTGAACTTATAGCAAATATGTTTCAAATTTCTTAATTATTATTTTTCAAATTTCTTGACTTGTGAAAATAAAAAGAAAAATCTTTAATTTTGTTACAACAAAAATATTTTTCGTATGTACACTTCTCCCGCTTGCCTCCATTTTGTAACATGTCTTTAAAATTGCTTTGGTTATTGTTGTTTTAACATTTTTTTGCTTCTCCTTCTTGTATCTTCTATCTAATGCTTCCTCATATTGATGGACAAAATCAATGACCAATGTACTAGAATGGACGAAATTAGAGCATAAATCATGTCATGTCATGTCGTTTTCGTATCGTATCATATTGGATTCGTGTTGAAAATAATCGAACACTAACACGACCCATTTAATTAAACACATCAATTATATTGACACTCATCTGACCTATTTATAATCGTGTTAACCCTAACACAACACGCTTAATACGATTAACAAAAGTTCATGTTTCAGATTATAAGCAAATTGTGCTGCCTATTTAAAAAAGTTGTTTCACATCACAGGTATAAGAATAACTTGTTTAAACATTGACGCACAATGATAATATATACGTCAATATTTGTTGAAAATAATTACAAATATTCATCACTAATCCATTACAAATCCAATCTAAACTATTGTCACTCATTAATATTTAAATATCCAATAAGATTTTAAAAGCAAAACAAAGTTTTCATCTAATACTAAATTACTAATAATAATAATGTTGCAACTATGCTACATCCAACGTAATGCTGTTGTGATTCTTTAACATTGACCCATGCCACAAAAACACTGTTGCAATATATTTAAAAACTCTCATGTTTTCCAATCTTGACTTCATGGCATGTCCTATAATAATATCAAGTCATGAGCATCTTTTATCGTTGTCTATTCGAATAAAAAGTTTCTCTCAAACAAGATACAAAATTGAAAATATACGAGTCAATAATGGATTCGTGTCAACGTGTCGACATGAATTTTTACACGGATTAAACATGTTCATTTCGGATTTCGCATGTTCAACACATACATGACCCATTTAATATTCGTGTTTTCGAATTGTGTTGTGGCATTCCAAAAATTTAATTAGTTTAACAGAGCGGTAATATAACTAATCATGAATTATATGTGATAAAATATAATTTAATTTAAAATTAGGGGGTCATCCTATTTTACCAAAAAATAATAATTATTTTAGTATATGGGCCAAAATGTAATTAAAACAATAAGTACATGTTTAGATCAACCTTGGATAAGCTTAATTTGGAAGCAATGAAACGTGGAAGGTGTTGAACGGGCAACGTGTCTGTGCTACGGACTGCGGGATCGAAATCTGGTTGTTGATTCACTTATATAAATATGTGTTTGGAATAATTTAAATAAATATATATTTTATTTTTTTATAAAATAATATGTAAAAAAAAAAAGGTAAGTGATATGAGTTAAGAAAGATAAAAAAAATATATTAATTAATATAGTGGATGTCAAATAATGCATAAATAGATAGGCAAATACACGTAATTGAAGCAAGGAAAAACAAAACAAATAAAAAAAAGGGTAAGAACAAAATCGAGTGTGAAGTGGAGTCAGTAAGCTTCAGTGGAAACGAAAAAGTGAAATGTAGGAATCGATTTTAAGGTGAGTTATATTATATTTTGAGTTATTATAAATTATTCTATGCAAATTACGTTTTATAAATTAGATTAGCATTTCAAATATATTATTTGTGTAATGAATCCTATTGGTTTAAAAAGGAAAACTCATGGTTATAACTGTTTATTTAATATGATTTTGGAAATTTGATATTTAATGATGTATTTTGTAATGTCCTGGGGGACTTAAATAGCCATTGACCATGTAATTAGTCACTTTAGTGACCCTCTATTTGTCATGGATCCGCTGACTCTCAGTTCTGTTCTGTACCATGGTTATGATTATTTTGCTTATATGATTTCTGCATTATATTTCTGTTATTTAAAATAATTTATTTATTCGAACTAAACTATTTATTGTATAGCTTAAATTATTATCCATGCTGGCTTTTATACCCTTAGATTCTCAATATAATGTTTCTCTCTACCATATGTTTATAGTTGTTAAACCTTTTTAGGTGATGAGGCTTAGAGAGGGGTTGTTAACCCCGTGTTCATAAGTTTTGGGAGTAGCAAGGCCGGACTTGGAGTAGGCAAAATGCACCTTATATATTTGTAAACATAGTCTAGCACTGGAAATGTTAATAAATAAAATAAATATTAGATACCTTTTTATTTTACTCCGCTGCATTATTAATCTGTTAAATTTAGAAATTAACTTTTGATAACCTCAATTATTGACTGGTTACGACGCCTAATCTCTGGGTACTGGGTTTGGGTCGTGACATGTGTCATTTTTGGGTTCGAGTAAAAAAAAAAGATTAACCGTAACCTTCTAATTTCGTGTACAATTCAAGTCATGTTAATGGGTCATGTGCGCTCTAGACAAAATCCTTGACAAATTTGTTTATAATCTCATTTCTTTGTGTTGTTGACATCCCTATACAAAACACTGTTCTCAAATAAGCTATATTTCACACCGCATGCACAATTCTTTCAACCATTCATTTTCCCTTAACTCATATTTGCAAACCAATTCATCTCATTTATTTTCAAACTCTTTTATTATGACTGTGTCATGAATGCAATGGTGAAATTCTCCTCGAAATAAGAAATACTTGTTCTAAACATGAACCAAAATTTCAGGAACTTTTTATAAGAAATGCCACATGCACAAACGGTGAATATTATTAGGCAATACATATGAAATTTCCTTAGCCATGGCTTTGTCATCATTAGTAATAGTAACAGAAGGATTTTGTCCACTAATTGTTTCAAGCCAAGTTTTTAACAACCATATGTAAGACTCTCTGTTGTCTCATTCACAAGTAAAACACATCCAAACATAACTGATTGGTAGTGGTAGTGATATCACGCCTCGGGTTTTCAAGATTTGAAACCTAATGAATAAACTTGAAATAAATAAATAAACAACAATAATAAATATAACCAAAAGATTCCCTCTCATGTATATATAATAATATCATCTAGTATATGAGGTTTATTCATTACATACATCCTATATTCAACGTTTAGGTAAATGAACATATAGTATATAATTCAAAATAAACATTTAACAATAAAAAAAGGTGCCTTAGTAGTGCATATGGTGGGTTTGATGTATTTCTACCAATAACAGGCGTCATCTTTCAGTTGGAAGTCCACCAACGTAACGCTTAACTCATCATTCTCGACCCTCAACCTATGTCAAGGACTTTGGTGACTTGTTCTAGCAAGTTGTCCACCTTCACCAGACCTAGCTCACCGGTGAACTCTGGTGGGTTGGAACGAAAGAACTCCCTCGTGATCAACAAGCTTTGGGTGTCATTGCCCTTATTACGAGCCAAGGCCTTAACCCTAATCACATCAATTGTCTCCCTCAATGCTTTCACTATCTCAAGGGCCACATCACCTCCCACAACCAAAGCTACTAGGGTCGGTGTATAGCAACCCTGGTTTTGACC